AATAGTGTCTGGGACCATATTAATTTATAATTATTAATATTATTATTATTTAAAATATTTGTTAATATTTAAATATTTAAGGTACAGATACCCAATAACTCATAAAATGCTGTCAGAGTCACCAGCTAACCCTTACATAATAAACTTGTATGACTTTTAAAAACTATGTTTACTAATAACTTAATTCAGTCAAGGTTATTTAATTATTGTTACAAATATCAAACTTGTAATAATTGTCAATCATTTTGTGTAATGATATTTTCTTTTTATTTCCTTTTTAGTTTTAGGGAAACAATTACTGATTTTCTCAATTACTATATGAAGCCAGTAGAGCCTATGATTCCAGAAAATGTACGTAATTCACCAGTGTTTTCATCCAGAGAGCAACTTGCTCTCTGCTTTTCTTTTTTGCAAGAGCTTGAGCTAAATTAGAGCTGCTTGTTTTGTTGAAGAGGCTTGAGCTAAATTAGAGGATAACATCTCTCTGATTTGACACAGAAATCAGGTTGATCATCATAGTTATTCACACAACTTTAAGAGCAGTTGTGAAAGTAAAGGCTGAAAAGAATTCAGGCTTGAACGAGATTCGAACCCACAACCTCTGCGATGCTGGTGCAGTGCTCTACCAACTGAGCTATCAAGCCAACTGCCAACAGGCTTTAATTTTACAACTGCTTTTGAACGTTGTACGTGTGTAACTGCAATGATCAATCATGTCTGAATCATGCATGTCTTTCTCTGCAGTTTAAGTATATGATCATTCCTATATTCACTTGCATAGAAATAGTGTACGAGTTTAATTAGTCTTTTCCTGTTATGCAAACTTAAATGCTGCCAGCAACAGAAAAATTAATGGCTTGGTAGATTCAAGGTGTAACTTTTTTTTAGCTGGTACTAGAGCACTTGTAAAAATTCTCCACAAACCTGGGCAGAGAGCTAGTTGCTCTCTTTTTTTATTATTTTTTACAAAGGAAGCTTGAGCTAAATTTGAAGATTGAAACATTTCTCTAATTTCTACTTTCAGCTGATTGTGTCCAATGGATGTACATCTTTAATTGATACTTTGGCATATACACTTGCCGATGAAGGGGGTATGTACAAGACTAGTCTGCAGTTTTAAATGAATACTTTAAACAGTAGTTCTGGGATTGCCGGAAGATAGCCATGGAGTTCTTACGGATCGTGTGTTTTAGCACATATATTAAACAGACCTTTCTTTACATCCTCAGATTTAAGCACACAGATTCTGCAACTCTTATCACAACCTTTCCACCTAGTGTAGCTGTATTCATTCAACTGCTTCAGTGATGATATAATTTTGTTTCTTATTTTGTTTGTGCCATAATGATGCTACAGAGGGTCTGTTGGTTCCCTCTCCTTTTTATGGATCATTTTTGTTGGACCTGCGAATCAGATGCCGAGTGGTGCCATTTCCAGTGGAACTCTCTAGTAAGGTAATAGCATTATACTTGGATTTCTTCTTGCCTAGTTTGTTCCTCGCAGACAAAAATAATTTACCTAATGAAATTAAGTTCAGACGTGTGTTATTTTTGTCGTAGCCTGGTCCAGGGGAAACACAACCATTCGAACTGTCTGTCCCAAGGCTGGAATCTGCTTTAAAGAAGGCAACAGAACAGGTGTAGAATGCTTTGTTAATGTTTGTTGTCACCATGAATTTATTTGTTATTATTGTTTTACTCATGTCTGATCAATGAATAATTAGTGTGCATTTTCAACAAACATTTAAGCATTGTTCCATAGCAAATTTTGTTCCAAAAGCGACCTATATTCATGACACCTCCATGTAGTTCAAAACCATACCACTTCAGACGGTGTTTCAATAATAGATGTACAGTGGTTTCAGTAATGGTCTTGATCAACAACACAGAAAAAGAAAGAAAACTCTACACACTGCATGCTTCATTGATAATTGTTTATTTTTTAACACATCAGGGAGTTAAAATCCGTGGTTTGTTATTGTGTAACCCTAACAACCCATTAGGAATCATCTATTCTGAAGATGTCTTGCAAGGATGCCTGCAATTTGCTGCAAGGTAAGAATTATACTATACGTTTCCTGAGGCTAAGTGCATGATCTAAATCAAGACCTAAATTGAAATAGTCGAAAATGTGTTTTTACATGCATGTCAGGTAGGTGGGCTCCCCAAATGATAAAACAAGATCTGTTCTTAAAATTCATTTATGGACTTCTAGTTATTGATCAGTATGTAACAGGGAAGGGGATGTGAAGTGTTGTGTAGTACTCGTGTTGATAAAAATTAAAATGTAATATGTTAACGGACGTGGGACAAAATTGAATTACTCCTAATTACCGAGACTCTCGGGCATGGTGAAGTGACACCCATCTCACAAAATTACTCTTCTGGGGTGCTTTCCATTGGACCAAAAAATCTGGTTTGCAGATTGACATTTGAAATTTTCAGTGACGAATGGAACAGCATTTTCCAAAATTTCGGGAAAACACGACAACCTCACAAAGTACATGCATACCCAAATTTTCGGAAATTTGTCACCAGGAATTTCT